TAATTAATATAATTACATTAATATATTTTTATTTATAGTTAAAAAAATAATGTGTACATATATTTAAGTTTATATAAATATATCGGATAAAAATATAAAATATTATAGTTGATTGTGTCTGTTGCCTAGAGTTGACTCTTGTGACGAAGAGTCGACCCTTCCATGTCTCCAGGACTTCTCCACTCTTCTGAATTTGAGTCATGAATCTTACCCTTCTAGAGTTGATTCAGTGTGCTCCTTAGATTTGGATTTCTATGCTAAAAACATTCAAACATGAAATCGAGTAGTTCTTCACGAGATTACTAACGCATGAGGAAGAGATTCAACTCCAAGTATAACAAATTAACAATCTGATTCTTTTCGAAGAAAAGTTAAATTAGATTCAAGGTTAGAACACTTCCATTGCAGATTCAAAACTGAGAACACCCAAACTTGACATCAAATCAAGAACAACCAAGGCTGGAAAATTAATTCTTCCCGATTTTAACTAACTCAATCGAAAAACAAAGATTCAACTTCTTCCGCGAAACAATTTGATTCTCACTAGCATCACGAAGAATAGTTAGATTAAAAGCAAGAGTTTTACACTTCCAATCCATGGATTCAACAATGATAACAATGAATCATGAAATCGAAATAAGACATCCCAGCGACAAATATTTAAAAAAGAAAACTGGGTTCCTCGAGGAGCCCAACAACTAGGTTCCGCGAGGAACCCAAAGCTGGGTTTCGTGTGGAACCCAAAATCTGGGTACCTCGAGGTACCTAGATCTGGGTTCCACGGGGAACCCAAGATGATGAAGAGGGGTGATGAAGAGCAAGCTAAGGATGATGATGAGAAGGAGGAGGAGGAAGAGGATGAGGAGCTCGAATGAAGATGAAGAAGTTAATTTCATTTAAATTCAAGTTAATTTCATTTAAATTCATTTAATTCATAAATTAAAAAATAAAATTTTTAATTTATACATGTAACACTAAATATTCATATAAAATATTTATAAGAATTTAAAATTTTATTCAATTAATTTTCATATCATTTATAATATTATTTATATAAAAAATAATCAAGTAATTCTATTAGTTAATATGATATTAATTAATATGACACATCAGTAAAAATTTAACAAAAAAAAAAGGTGGCATTCTAAATTTTAGAAATTTAATAAGGGAATTTTTTTTTATAAAGACAAAAAAAAGGGGGTTTTTTCAATAATAAATTCAATAGTAAAAGGATTAAAAGGAGTATTTAACCTTAAAAAAATTATGAATTTCAATAAAAACTAGAATCTATGAGTCTAATTTTGACTCTTGTGAGTTCCAGAGTCAACTCTAAAAAACCAAGAGTCGACTCCCAAATTCCAGAAAGTAAGGAAACATTTTAGTGCAGACAGAGTCGACTCTCCATCGAAAGAATCGAATCTTGGCTGAAAGTTAATCTCACTTTTTTGGGGTATGGGTGCTCCTAAACTTTAAACAACAAAGAGTATGTTGCTGAAAGTCACTTTCAGCAACAAGGAGCATGTTGCTGAAAGTGAACCTCATTTTAGGTGGGAAATGGTTGCTGTGTGGTGACTGGAAAATGTTAGCAACAAGGGGCATGTTGCTGAAAGTGAAAGTGGTGATGCTTCCCATGGTGGTTGGAGCCGGTGTGTATATATATATTATAACTTTGGCCAACGACTGGTTAAAGAATATTAGCAATATGTTCCTTGTTGCTGATGTTTGGTTGGTAAAAAGAAAAAAATAATAGCAACAAGCTATATGTTGCTAATACTTAATGTTTTCAGCAACATAGTTCTTGTTGCTGAAAGTGAATTTCAGCAACAAGGAACATGTTGCTGAAAAGTAGAGCTCAATTAACTCCCCAAGGATTCACTGGAAAATATCAGCAAAATGAAGTATGTTTCTGAAAGTTATTTTAAGCAACAACAAGTATATTGCTGAAAGTGGGGCAGCTTTTTCAGGGTGAGGTGTACTGGAGGACTTTCAACAACATAGGGCTTGTTGCTGATACATATTTTTAGCAACAAACAATCCCATGTTGCTGATATACTGTTGTTAAAAGCCAAAATTTTAGTAGTGATATATGATTTACATGAATAAAAATTTTAATTTAACGGTTGTTTTTTTGAAAATATTAATTAAAAATTAAGTTTTAAAAATAAGTCATTCAAAAGATGGCTAAAAAAAAGTTATTCAAAAAAAAAAATTTTTTTGAGAGAATGACTTGCATTATGCTAAGTAAAAATAAATACCATTTCTGTTATTATTGATCATCGTTGACTGATTCATGCATGAAAATGCAAATGATCTATAGGTTGACTGATTCATGCATGAGATTGCAAATGATATATAGATTGGTTTTTAAAAACAATATTTTTCAGGTGTCCTCCTCAACTCTATCATTTGCCAGTTTCATATGTGAACCAGTCAACCCTATACCTAACTCTAACAATTTGTATTTCAAATATATTTGCATTTAAATTATATATAACTTAAATTCAAAATTATTTTTATCATTTAAAATTAACTCAATGATTTAAACTCCATTTAGTATAGTTGTGGTTTTTAGATTTTTGTTTTGACTTTTATAAATTTTGCAATTATTAAAATTGAAAACTAATAATTTGTTTACGACAAATTTCTATATTAATATTGAAAACAAAAAGATAAACTTGTTTAATAATATTAAAATTATTTTTTTTATTTCTTTAATAATTATGATAATATGTTATAAAAACACATGAAAGTAAACGAGTTTTTTGTTTAGAGTTTTAAAATTTATAAAAACTAAAATAAAAAACTTAAAATGATAATAATACCAAATAAAACCTAAGTTATTATTTTCTTTTATTTAAAATTAAGATTCAAAAAAATTGACTAGCTAGCAAGTAGCTAGCAATTGCTTTTGCCTTGAAAATTTTGAAAGAAAAAGAACAACCGCTAGAAAATGCCAAATTTAATGCAAAAATCTAGGACAACCAACTTTTCACACCGTTAATGTCACGTTAGTAACTGCGTCAGCTTAAGTGCCGCAATGAACATTTTTTCAGCTGTTGGACCCCAATGAACAGAAATTTTTGAAGTTCAAGGATCCCAATAAACATTAGGTTAGTACGAACAAAAAAAATGCTATTAAACAAAAATAATAGTACATGACTGCTGGTTGATTTCAACCCAAAATTCAACAATCTAAACTTTCTTAATTTTAATTTCTTATTTTTTGCCCTCATTCCCTTCGCTCCAACTTTTGTTATCCAATATTCCAGCTGCTCAGCTAAACCAAACCAAACCTCACAAGCAGACATGGTGAAAAGAAAAGAAACCTTACATATGACTTTTGTAAGGGATTGGAATCGGCCCATAAAATTGGGCCAAGGCATGGTAAGGAGACCCAGCCAACATCCTTTTTGCTGTCTGAATTCTTAAACTGTCCTCGACCCGACAGACATTGGGTTCAAAAGAACGACTAGTACAAATCGCTCTCTTAGATGTTAATTCACAATATAAGAGAAAGTTATCTTTTCTTTTTTTGTACAATATAAAACTAAAATAACAAAATTGACATATACCTAAGTAATATTAGATCTGCTGTTCGATGTTATAATAACAGTGTCCTAGAAATTATATATAATAAGAGTATCCTATAAACGGTTAACAGTGGTGATGGCTGGGGTAATTTGGTAGCATCAATACTAAATTGTAAACTTGGCCAGTTTCTTTTTACCTTTCTTGGGTTACTAGTTGGCGGCAGTCCTGGGAGGGAAAAGTTTTGGCAGTCCATTGTTGAGAAATATAAATCTAACCTGGCAAAATCTGGCCGGAAAGGGAGGCTTCCTTCCATTCTGGTTGGGTTACGCTGCTCAAGTCAGTCCTTTCCTCTCTTCCTATTTATTTCTTTTCTCTCTTAAAAGTTCTAAAAGGGGTCTTACAAGAACTTGTGAGTAATCAAAAAAAACTTTTCACTGGGGTAAGTGTTGGAGATAAAAATAAAAAGATTTTTTTAATATGTGTTGTTATAATATAAGTTAAGAGTATTTTTTTATCATAAGTATATATAAAAAAGTATAAAAATTGACATTAATTTTAAAGTTATTAACATGTGGTTTAAGGGCACAAGATATATAGAAAAATTCAAAATAAAATAGTTTGCATTAATTGAAAGGTTTAAATACCTTTAAATAGATCAACACATACGAAAAAACAGTTTAAATAATTTCATTAGTGTCTTAACTTTTACTTCTTTTTTTTTTTTTTATAAATGTCATCATTATTGAAAAGATATATATTTAAATGAATCAGTACTACATTCGTAAGACTAGTATTTAATTAAAGAATTTCATAAGTATTTTGATTTTTACCTTTTTTTTCTGTTAAATCTTATTATCATTAAAAGAAAATAAATCAAAAATGTTAAGTGAGAAGGACAAGTAAAGTAGGAATATCTTATGTTAATAACATAATAAAAAATATAAATTAAATATAAAAAATTATTTTATTTATTATTAATTAATTTTAAATGAAATACAAACAAATGAAAGTTTCAACCACACATACCTTTCAAAAGTGAAGGGCATGTTGAACGAGATATATAGTGAGGGCTGCTTTTATTGCCCATTGATTACGGAGTCTTGTGTTGGATGTTGGGTCGGAGGCAGAAAGGTACAAATTTCTCCACACTTCTAAAATCTAAATACATTATTACAAAACTCCTGGGTCAATCTATTAATTTTCCCTCAATGGTGGAGCACATACACATTATACTCCACAACAGCATCTAAAGTTCTCAAGCCAAACGTGTGAGTCCTCGCCTGAGCATAGCCATGTGCAAACCGGAAAACCCCGCTGCCACCAACAATTGGCATCTCTCTAACGTCGGAGAGTATTGCGTTCCGCCCCAAGATGCTAAGGTTGCTTCCATTATACCTTCCTTCCGTGAACGCGAAATTGAGCACCATTAAAAATGCCCATTCGCTTTGTGACGCGGAGGCGTAGATTCCTTGTGCTCTTCCCACAAGTTTGGAAGTTATGTTGGGGCCAAGAGTCAGAGGGTCGTCCATCATAAAGATTTGACCAAAATGAGGAGCGGATGTGTTTGTCATGGCGGCCCTAGCAACTTCGACTGCGGTGGGGTTACGGCCGCTGACGATGTCGTGGAAGTAAAAGTGAAGGTGGATGAGTTTTTCTTGCTTAAGGCCTAATGTTTCAGATGAAATTTGTCTGGAGAAGTGGTGAATAACATCAGGTTCTCCAGTGGGGGATGTGGCAGAGGAGAGCATGACGGAGAGGAGAATAAAGGTGGAGAAGAGGAGTTTTAGGAGGGCTTTGGCCATGGTGGGGAGGAGCTAGGGTGGTCAGAGAGGGCAAGGTTGAAGTCGGAGAGAAGATGGTCGGGTGCTTAAATAGTTGCTGAGTTATATTAAAAAAAAAAAAAAAAGAACAAAACGAACAAATGGGATTAAAGTTTAAGATTTAAATTTAAGGTTAATGAGATAATATAAATTATAATATTTAAAATATTAAAAGGTGAATTTTATGTTATTTTGTAATCAATTTTTCATTTTTTTAAAATATATAATATTATATATTAATTTAATAATATAATTTACATTACATTTTTAATTAAAATTTTTGTCTTAAAATTTTGCCTCACTATTATTTCTAAAAAAAATTATCAGCTGTTTTGTGTTAAAAAAATTGAAATATCTGCTGATTTCTGTTTAAAAAAAAAAATGCTATTGACCTCACACTCTAATTTGACTCTATAAAAAATGGTTTAGGTGTGCATGTTTATATATATAGCAAAATGATTTAGGG